GACTTATAAAACTTGCAGCTCTCTGCAGTTCTGCACTCACCTACGTGACAGCACAACAGAGCGCCACAAGGCCAAGGTCTGGAGAGGTCAGGTGAGTGCTAGGATAGGGTGGGCTGGGCCAGACCTCCCTCACTCTGCACTGTTCGCTCCCACTGCTTGATCTCTCCATTCCCGCCTCTACTGACCCTGCCCTTTCCCTGAAATCCCAGCTCAATCTGACCCTGCCCTTTCCCCACGGAAATCCCAGCTCAGTCTGATACCATCTGCTGTCTGGCCTGGAACCCGTTCCTCTTTCCATTTCCACTGGGGCATGTTTTGCTCATCACACCAGAATGGCTCCCAAAACAAGCTCAGTTGCTCATTTGGCTGTTTCTCTCTGAGCCAAGATGGAGTGTGGCTGAGCAAGTTGGGTCACAGGCCCAGCTGGCTTTGGGGAGGTTTCTGTATGTGAGGGCTTAGGGAGCTCAGGGAGGGAAGGATGGGGAGGAGCCCACTGGGATCAGATCCAGAGCTGCAGCAGCAAGTACTGAAAGAAAACACGTGGCAGGCCCCAGAGTAGGAGTTTTCTCCAGTGCACACTGGAAGCTCCTGGTCAGCTTCCAAAACCCAGGCACCTGGGTCCCACCAGAGCAATTTAATTGCCTTGGGGTGTGGCCCAGGCACTGGGATTTTAAAATAAATATTTTTTAAATTGATTTCAGAGAGAGGACAGAGAGGAAGAGAGAGAAACATCAATGAGGAGAGAATCATTGACTGCCTCCTGCATGCCCCCTATTGTGGATCGAGCTGGCAATCCAGGCATGTATCTTGATGGGGAATGGAACCTTGACCTCCTGGTTCATGGGTCGATGCTCAACCAGTGAGCCACTCTAGCTGGGCAGGCATTGGGATTTTTAAAAGTTCTGCGGGTAAATCCAAGATGCCTCCAGAGTTGTGGCCCCACTGTGTTAGATCCGGCCGGAATCCAGCCCAGCACTCACTGGCTCTGAGTGTAGGCAAGTTGCTCAGCCTGTTTCCTTACCTTAAAGCAATTAAACAGAAGACATTGTTGTGATGTTGTTAAGGGAGGTCGGCCCCACTCCGGACCCTGACTCGGCAGCATGGAGCTGGTCCAGGACACCTCCCGCCCGCCACTGAAGTATGTGAAGGGGGTGCCTCTCATCAAGTACTTTGCAGAGGCAATTGGGCCACTGCAGAGCTTACAACCCAGGCCCGATGACCTGCTCATCAGCACCTACCCCAAATCTGGTAGGTGATGAGGACCACCCACCCCTCTCCTGGGCTGCAGTCCCCACCTCGGGCCAGCAGGGGTGTGCCCTCAGCCCCGCTTACCTCCCATTTTCCTCTCCAGGCACCACCTGGGTGAGTGAGATTCTGGACATGATCTACCAGGATGGCGACTTGGAGAAGTGTCAGAGGGCTCCCATCTTAACCCGGGTGCCCTTCCTTGAGTTCAAGGGTCCAGGGTGTCCCACAGGTGTGTGGTGGGGTGCTGGAGGCCAGTGAGGTGGAGGGAGGGAGGACCCGGGCTCCAGCTCACTGGACCTTTCCTATCCATGGCTTAGGCATGGAGGTTCTGAAAGATACGCCAGCCCCACGGCTCCTCAAGACACACTTGCCCCTGGCTCTGCTCCCACAGGCCCTGCTGGACCAGAAGATTAAGGTGAGTGGCAATGGAAGCTACAGAAAAAGGCAGCTGGGGCCAACCCAGCTTTGGCCCCATCTTCTAGGAAGGTCTCATCTTAAACGGGGAGAAGTCCTCAACCTCATGCTCCGGTGGGTCAGATGGCCAGTGACAGACTTTGCAGGGCCTCGGTGCTCACAGGCCTGTGGAGGAGGGGCTGTTGGGAATTCTGCACGCCTTGTTCCAAATCGATACAGTGGCATTGAGAAGATTGGATGAGTATAAAATACAGTTCCTGGAACCAGCCAGGACTCTGGCATCAGAGCAGGCTTCAAGTCCCAGCTCAGTCACACCCAAGTCAGCCTCTAAGCCTGTTTCCCTCTTGGCCAGACCAAGAGAGAACCTCCCTTGCAGGGAGGCTGTGAAGGGTGGAATGTGATGCTTAAAGAACCTCTAGTGCCTGCTGTGCTGTGCTGTGCGGTGACGGTGCGGTGCGGGGTGGGGTGTGTCTTCTGCCTCTCCAGGTGATCTATGTTGCCCGGAACGCCAAGGATGTGGCTGTCTCCTATTACCACTTTTACCGCATGGCCAAGGTGTACCCTGAGCCCGGCACCTGGGACAGCTTCCTGGAGAAGTTCATGGCTGGGGAAGGTGGGGCTGACTCTGGATGAAGGAGGGGGTGAGCTGAGGGGCAGCCAGCTGGAACGAATACCAACCTCTGTCCGTGCCCCCTGCCCTTTTCCCCAGTGTCCTATGGGTCCTGGTACCAGCACGTGCGGGAGTGGTGGGAGCTGAGGCACACCCACCCTGTTCTCTACCTCTTCTACGAGGACATGCAGGAGGTGAGACACCGCTACAACTTCCCTGCACATGGGGCGAGTCCCAAGACCTTCTAAGCCCCGATTCCCTATGGCAGACCCTACACGGGTCCTAGACCCACCTCACCTTCCCTGCCCCTTGGGCAGCACACTCCGTAGAGCTCTTATCTCCTAGCACCTGAGTCAGTGCCAAGTGCAGTCACTGATCACCCATTTACTGCTACTGCTTCTCCCTGGGCCCAGTTATGACAGAGGGCTGTCCGTGCCCTCACCCTAAGGAGCCAGATACAGCTTCTTAACAGATCACAGGGCAGAAGGCAATTAATTTTGCCCCAGGAGTGCCAGAGTACAAAGGACCAGAGTCATGGAGCAGGGTCGGAAGTGGCCATGAGGTTAGGGTGGGGCCTCCCTTTTGTTTGTTCAATGCACAACCCAAGCCTCCACTGAAGAGCCCCCCTGCTGCTGCAGAACCCCAAAAGGGAGATTCGGAAGATTCTGGAGTTCGTGGGCCGCACCCTGTCAGAGGAGACCGTGGATCACATTGTGTGGCACACGTCATTCAAGGAGATGAAGAAGAACCCCATGGCCAACTACAGCACCTTACCCGTGGAGATCATGGACCACAACATTTCCGCCTTCATGCGGAAAGGTGAGTGCCTACCAGGAGGGGCGCTGGGGAGGCGAGGGCGGGAGCAGTGGCTAGAGCTGGCCCTGGGCCACTTGGGGCCTCTGCTTTGGCCAGGACCTCTAGCCTCACTCCTTCCATCCCCACCTCCCTCCCCAGGCATCACGGGGGACTGGAAAACCATGTTCACTGTGGCCCAGAACGAGCGCTTTGATGCCCACTACGCTGAGAAGATGGCAGGCTGCAACCTCAAGTTCCACACAGAGCTGTGAGTGGTGTTCATGGGACCGCTCCCCAGGGAGTGTGTGCGAGTGGCCCGACAGGGGCCTCAAGAATAAAGTACAGCTTGTGTTGCATGGAGTGTGCCTATTGGAAGAAAAGCAGACCTGAGCTGAGAGAAAGAGTAACTGCCCACTGGGACCAAATGAGGCCCCAGCTCCCCAACTTGCCCTATGTGGGGAGGGGTAAGAACACAGGAGACATGGCAAAGGGGAAGAACATTTATTTCTTCACATAATGTCTTGTTGCATGCCCCCGTGAGGTGGCAGGAGGCTGCCAGCCTCCATCACTTTTTCTTGGGCTCCTTACAAGCCACCACGTACCTCTGGGCCACATTGAGGGGAGGGCAGTAACCATCTGCATAGGAAGTGTCTTCAAACAGGACCGAATAGTCATCCTGGGGCTGCAGCAGGAGGCAGACAGGAGGCGCTGGTCAGAAAGCCCCAGGCCAGCGCCCCCCTCCCCCCAAGCCTAGACCGACAGGCACCTCTGGTGTGTGGGCTCCTAGCCTTTCCCGTCTCATCTTCACTCAAGAAGTCTAGATGTTTGAACCTGCTCCCTGCTACAGAGCTCCTCAGCCACCAAGTCCAAGGACGGGGGTGAATAGCAAGGGAAAGGACTCGCTAGCTACACAGGCGGCCACACGGAAGGGGCCCCTAGGTTAAGAGGAGCAAGGACAACTCAGAGGGCAGCAGGCAGGGGTCCTGGAGGAAGAGGGGAGCCCAGCCTTTAAACTGCCATCAGTGATGGGTGATTAGAGGGCAGGGGTCGGGGGTGAAGACTGGCCCTGAGCAAGGCTTCCATCTCGGGGCTCAGGCCCCCACCTCAATGCGAAAGCGAGGCTAGACTAGAGGACACACCGGGGCTTTCTAAGGCTCTGCAGGGCGCCGGCACTGCCTGGAGGACAGGCTGGAGGGGTTACAGCTCAGGACCCCGCCAGCTCAAAGAGGTACAAGGACAAGAGGGAAGGAAAAGGGAAGGTGACCGACCCCATGACCTGTCTGGTCAGTGTGGTGGTCCTGGTGTCCGGGACGATCTCTCCCCCGGGGGCTGCCTTACCCGTTGTGGGGGGGTGTGGATCAGGGCACGGTAGAAGCAGGTAGTCTGGGGATACAGGGCCAGCACGAGCTGCTCCTTCTGGAATAAGGCTTCGGGGTCCGTCTCAGGGTTGGCCTTCCACTGGGGCAGTGGGATGATGTGCCGCCGGCTCAGGGTGTGTCTCCTGGAGGGGCGCTTAGGTCAACCCATGGCAGGTGGGGGGCTCTTTCCCAGCAGCAGGGCTGTCCCCAGGCTTCCCTCGCCCCGCCCTGGCCAGCACACTCACTCTTTGCCTTCTTCATCAATGTCATCGACCTCATACCTGCGGGTGAACGAAAGGAGAGCAGTGGATGCAGGGCAGTGCACACCAGGTGGGGACTGGGGAGGAGGGTGAGGAGGGAAGTAGCCCAAGGAGCCGGCTCTTCACACGTGTCCCAGTTCCCACAGGGCTGGGCGTGTCTAAGGGAAAACTGTCCCTCTGGCTTAAGGAGCAGCTCATCTTGGATGACTGCAGATACATGCAAAAGCTCCTTTTGAAAACGATAGCAATCTTGACCCACATCCACTCCTCATCCCCTTTCTCTCCAGAGCCCAGCTACTCACTCTTGTTCTCTGTCTGCATCCTCTCGTGGGTCTTCTGGATGTTCACTAAGTTGTGCTCACTCCTCGAACGCTCTTCCTGCAAAGAGGAGGTCAGCTGGACAGGAGCGAGGCCCCCATCCCGCTGGGGCACCCTGCACCCAGGCCACAGGCCCATCCATATGGCCCTCATTTACTAGATCTGAATTCAGGACCAGTTTAAAGGCCCCCTCCCCCACTAATGCGAAAGCATGACAAAAGGCATTCAAGTGAAATCATAAACTAGATTTATGGCTCTCCTTCATCAGAAAAGACAAACTGACCTACAGAGTCAATACAATCCCCAACAAAATTCCAGCTGACTTCTTTGTAGAGTTTGACAAGCTTATTCTAAAATTCATATGGAAGTTCAAGTAACCCAGAATGGCCAAAACAATCTTGAAAGAGGAAAATAAAAACATTGGAGGACTCACATTTCCTGATTTCCAATTTTATGACAAAGCTACAGCTGTCAAATGCTGTGATGCTGGCATATAGAACAATGGACTGGAATTGAGAGTCCAGAAATTAACACATACATCTGTGATCAGTTCACCTGGGAGAGGGGATGGGGAAGGATGCTGGTACAAGTCTTCCCCACATCAGTGGGCTGGGACCACAGCTGCAACTGAGGGTGCCAGATGCATGGATGATTCTTAGTCAGAAGCCCAAGTACTCGGCAACATGGAGTCAATGGTGAATGCAGCTATACTGCCCAGTGGTCTAAACAGCCCACTCGTTCTGTACTATATAACCCCACCCTACTAAATGGGAATGACCAAGGAGGGGTGGGGAGGAGACAGGACACGACACCTGCTAGACTAGCATTGCTGCCTGCGATCTGGACGGGCACAGTGGCTGAACCTAACATCCTTCCAAGGGTGGAAAAGTTTGGGTAAAAAGCAATGACAAATGGAGAGAAGGAGAAATAGTAGCTGAGGATAAAAGAGTGGGTTACGCAGTGTTGTAAATTCAATCTTATATTAATGCCTCACGATAGACTCAGTTAGAGAATACTATTGGCTCAGTTACGCCAGATGCCAAAAGGGTGAAGCCATCTATTTGCCAGGAACACCCCTGCTTTTAGAACCTGATGAAGTCCAACGGGAGCCTGCAATCCTGAGCGGCCTCCCCGAGAGACATTCTGGTTATACAATCTGACGATAAACTGGACTAATTCCTGAAAACTGAAGGGAATTCTAGCAATTCTATTCTTTAGCTTTAAAATTTATGAACTACTTTTAGAGCAGTTTTAGGTTTACAGAAAAATTGAGCAGATAGTAAAGAGTTCCCATATGCTTGCTTTCCCCTGCAGTTTCACCTGATGAACCTCTTGCATTAGTGAGGTACACTTGTTACAGTTAATTAACCAAACTGATCATTATTAACTAAAGCCCATAGATTACATTAAGATTCACTTCCTGTGTTGTACATTCCATTGGTTTTGACAAATGCATAGGTCATGAACTCACCAGTAGGGTAACATACAGAACAGCTTCACCTCCCTAAAAATCCCGTGTTCCCCCTACTCACCCCTCCTTCCTCCAAGCCCCGTGTCTTTTTACTCCCTCATTTTGCCTCTTCCGGAACGGCAGCTGGGTAGAGTCATACAGCCTGTGACCTTTCAGACTGGGTTCTTTCACTAGGACTATGTGTGCCAGGATCTTTTGACTTAGTTTTCAGGTTACAGCCACTACAGAGGATGCCATTTGGGAAGGAATTTCTAGGAACTGCTCCATCTTGATGCAGTGCCGAGAAAGGAACAAGGGACCCAATGGGCAGTGCAACCTGCTGTGCACAGATACACATCACCCTTGTTTTGTGAATGAAAAGCTATGAAAAAGAATAGGGGACAATGGGTTTCGCTAGGATTAAAGCACTAGGCACCACATGCTGGGTCCAAATTCCCCTGGGGAACAGCCCCACCCCGAGCCAGGAAGCTTCTGAAAGGCTGTATGATAAACTCAGGCTAAGTTACATCCAGGTGTGACGACCTCGCATCTAACCCAACACTTTTGGGCACAAACATGTATCCTAACTGCACCCAGGCCATCAGCCCAGTGGCCACAAAATGCACAGCGGAATAAGCAACACTGGCTCACACTAGAAAAGGGGTGTGCGCTGTGGGACAAGCTAAATGCACTTTCAGTGAGAAGCAACATTCAGGGGAAAAGATGTGTGAATGTGAAAAAAGACTGAAGTGAGTTCTCTTTCCAGAGGAAGGGAGGGACGAGAGTGAGCCTGGAAGGATAACAAAGCTTCAGTGAATGGTTTCGGTCAGCTCCACACACAATGCTGGATGATTCCAGGACCCTTCTGTTGCACGTAAGGGGCTCGCACCCTGACCCACCAGGCCTCCTGACTATTTTAATCCAGATGGAGGCTACTGTAGTCACGGGGCACAGGCTCTCCACACTGCCTGCTGAGCCCCAAGGGGCACTACCATGGAATGCTCTGACCTCCATACCTCCTCCGGAAGCCCTCTAGGGGCACGTGTAAGTTATATCAATGTACCATGACTATCCCGACCCAAGAATTGATGAAAATAAGGCATATCCCAAAGTACAGCTAGCAGAGCCGGGACTTGTACTCTGAGTACCACCTGTCCTCCCCTTATGAGGGGGGTGGGCCGTGGGGTACGAGAGCACACATAGGAAACCAGGCTCAGTACAAGCCTCTGAGCTGAGATGGGGTGACTGGCCTTATCCCCAGAAATAACAGAATCAGGGCCACTGTGATAAAGCCTGCCATAGCAATATCTGGTAAACAGGCAGGGCCAATTCCGTTAGGAAGACATAACGAAGAGCCTGTGATTTTACTGACTTGTTCCATAACGAGACAGAGTTTTACCATGACCATACTTCATTGTGGTGTAACACAGGGCATTGCTGGTAACACGTAAATAAGTGTTATGATAACACTGATACTGATGACCAACTGAATTGGGAGACTGAGCCAAAGCCTCAGTGTATTACTCATGGAAAATGAGGGGCCTGAGGAAGAACTAAATTTCGCTGTCAGCTGATTTCTGTGCTAAATATTTCTACACGAATTTATCATAATATACATGTAGTGGTAGGTGAAGGGGAAAATACATAATCAAATTAGTTCAACAATAAGAAAATGGATGCATCCTAGCCGGTTTGGCTCAGTGGATAGAGCGTGGGCCTGTGGACTGAAGGGTTCTATTTCGGTCAAGGACACGTAACTTGGTTGCAGGCTTGATCCACAGCCCAGATTGGGGAGGGGAGGGGGAAGGAGTAGGAGGCAATGAATCAATGTGTGGCTGTCTCACATCGATATATATATAAATATAAATAAAGAAAATGGATGCAATGCCTCTAAGTATAGATTAGTTATTTCTCTAAGTTTCTCTCTACCCCTGCAGGCTGCTCCATGCTGCTATTATTGCTGTATCTCTGATATAGATGCTACTAAAAACAGATGCTCAAACATGATTGTTTTGCTGTAGGAGAGGCTAGGCCAAAGGCCAGGGGGTGGTATATGCAGCAAATCATTAACTCAGCAAGCCTGGATTTTCAAACCCTGCACATTCCAAAAAAGGTTTGGCTTTTGACCAACTTCTGAGAGAGACCCTCTAAACCAGCGGTTCTCAACCTGTGGGTCACGACCCCTTTGGGGGTCGCCTAAGACCATCGGAAAACACATATATAATTACATATTGTTTTTGTGATTAATCACTATGCTTTAATTATGTTCAATTTGTAACAATGAAATTGGGGGTCACCACAACATGAGGAACTGTATTAAAGGGTTGTGGCATTAGGAAGGTTGAGAACCACTGCTCTAAACCCTTGGACTATCTTGCCTCAAAAGAGTATCTTTATTTTCCTGGGTCAGGGTGGAAGGAGAAAGGAGTAACGGCTATTGAATATGGGATAAAATGTTCTGAAGTTGGTCATGGTGATGGTTGCACGGCTCTTTGAATAGACTAAAAACAAATGAATTACAGACTTTAAATGGGTGAACTGTAAGGCATGTGAATTAATATCTCACACGATGGATAATCCAACAGGAATGGTAGTCCTGCCCTCCTCTCACCTTCATGACATCATCTTGGGTCCTGCCCTCCAATCTCTCTGAACACAACCCCACCAGCCCCTCCACAGCTCAGCACCACAGCCCACGTTCCCCTGTAGGAATGGAGGGCTGTGGCCTGTTACCTGCGTTTGTTTGATCAGCTGATGGAGCTCGGTGAGAAGTTCTGCGATGCGGGAATCAGCTGACACGAGGGCCATGGTACATATGGCGCCTGGGGCGGAGGGGGAACAGAAGAGAACCTTGTTAGTGTTGTTATGGGTTAAACTACTGCTCCCTCAAAAAGGATATGTTGCCTGGCCAGCGTGGCTCAGTGGTTGAGGGTTGACCTATGAACCAGGAGACCACAGTTCAATTTCCGGCAAGGCACATGCCTGAGTTGCAGGCTTGATCCCTAGTGTGGGGTGTGCAGGAGGCAGCCAATCAATGATTCTCTCTCCCTCATCATTGATGTTTCTGTCTCTCTTTCCTTCTCCCTCATCGGTGATATTTCTATCTCTCTCTCTCCCTTCCTCTGTGAAATATATATATATATATATTCTATATAATAAAAGGCTAATATGCAAATAGAACGAACACCAGAACAACCGGAACAACCCAACAACTGGTTGCTATGATGTGCACTGACCACCAGGGGGCATGAGCAGAACATGGCAGGTGTTGGCCATGGTGGGATGGTGGAGCAGGTAGGGGGGGCAGCCAGACCAAGGTGGGGTGCCGTCTGCTGTCATTGGGGCGAGCCTCTGGTGGTTACTGAAAATTCTTTGCTCCCGCGTGCTGTGATCCCGCCCAGCGCTCACACCTGCTGCTGGTGCTGGCCCCCCTCGCACCCAATGCCAGTGCCCGGCACCGGTCCTGATCACTTGGCACTATCAGTGGGTGTGAGCGGTGGCTCCCGGCCCTGATTGCCCCTGAGGGCTTCTCCACTTCCCCCTGCTCCTGAGGGGCGATTGGGGCAGCAACCTCCCTTGCACCTGCTGCTGGCGCCGGCCCCAATTGCTCCATGCCGTCAGCGTGTGGGAGCAGCAATGGGAGCGGGGCTTCCGGCAGACAGGGGGCTGAGGGCCATGGTGGGAGGGGCCGGGCGGGGACGCGGGGGATGGGCTGAGACCCACCCCTGTGTCTACCACAGCCTCATGGCCCACAATTCCTTTCATGGTGCACGAATTCGTGCACTGGGCCCCTAGTCCTATATAATAAAGATGTAATATGCAAATGGTTGTTACATAACGACCAACCGCGTAATGACCGGATCATGGATTAGCAGGAGGGTGGGGTAGCGAGCTACAAGCAGGTGGCAGAGAGCTACAGGAGGGGGCAGGGCAGCAAGCTATGAGGGGAGGGGCGGCGGGGAGCAGAGGGAGCTATAGGGGGGCGGCAGCGAGCTACTGTTACACGGATTCATGCGCAGGGCTACTAGTATATATATAAAAGATATGTTGAAGACCTGATCCCCGATACCTGTGAATGTGACCTTACTTAGCAATAGGGTCTTTGTAGGTGTAATTAAGATGTACGTTAAGATCAAGTCATACTAGAGTAGAAGTGGGCCCTTAGTCCAACATGACTGGTGTCCTTATAAGAGAAGAAACAGAGACAGACACACACACCGCGTGGGAGAGAGACACACACCGAGAAGGCGGCCATGTGACAGAAGCAGAGACTGGATTTAGGCAGCTGCAAACCAAGGATTACTGCCAAGGACTGTTGGCCACCACTAGATGCTGGGAGAGAGGCAAGGAACAGATTGTCCTGAGCACCCAAGAAGAAACCCACCCGTGATTTTGGGACCAAGCCAACCTCTGGATTTTGGAATTCTAGAACTGTGAGAGAATACATTCCTGTTGTGTTAAGCCACCCAGCCGGTGATAACATGTTACGGCAGCCCTAGGAAACGAATGCAGTGGCAGGTAGCCCTGAAATTCTACCCTAAGCCAATGATGTTTGTATTCAATATGTTGAGCCAAGTTATAAGGAGTACTTATTTTTTTTCCTTTATTGATTAAGATATTACAAATGTGTCCTTATCCCCCATTCTCCCCCATCCCCCCACTCATGCCCTCATCCCCCAGTGTCTGCTCGGTGTCTGTGTCCATTGGTTATGCTTATATGCAAGTCCTTTGGTTGATCTCTCCCCCTTAGCCCCACCCTCCCCTGCCTTCCCTCTGAGTTTTGAGCATCTGATAGATGCTTCTCTGTCTCTAGATCTATTTTTGTTCATCGGTTTATGTTGTTCATTATAATCCACAAATATTGAGTCACTTCCAAAAGCAGCAGCCTAGGCCCCAGCTCTGCTGACAAATGATTTAAGTATTCTGGTTTCCATTTAAAAAATTCTGGAAAAGGGGGATTCAAATAAGATTTTATATAAAGACAATTTCCATGTCATAAAACACTGTTACTTTTTTTTTTTTACGATAGAGGGAAGAGAAATCAACTACTAAAAACATCTGACTTAAGGAAAGACAAATGTATTGATGAAAATAAAATGCACTAAAAGGTAATTAGAAAGAGAATAAAAGACAATAAAAGGTAACAAAAAGAATAAGTCATCATACCCACAAAGATCAGATTCACACTGAGTAGAGTAATAAACTGTAAACTCCATGTTCTTAGTCACATCTTCTTAAAATCTCTGTTTCTGTTTATTAAAAAAGTAATATTGCCCTAACTGGTTTGGCTCAGTGAATAGAGCCTCGGCCTGCGGACTGAAGGGTCCCAGGTTCGATTTCGGTCAAGGGCATGTACCTTGGTTGCAGGCACATCCCCAGTAGGAGGTGTGCAGGAGGCAGTTGATGATGTTTCTAACTCTCTATGCCTCTCCCTTCCTCTCTGTAAAAAAATCAATAAAATATATTAAAAAAAAAAAAGTAATATTCACACTAGGAACAAAGGGGACTCCCCAGCTCCGGTCCCCTCTGTGAATGTGACCTTACTTAGCAATAGGGTCTTTGTAGGTGTAATTAAGACACCTGAGAGAGGGCGTCTATGAACAGCCACAGCTAACATCACACTGAGTGTGAAAGACTGAACGCTTCCCCCAGATCAGGAACAAGCCAACTCAGCTGCCACCCGAATAGTTCTACCAAGGGCCCCCTCAGACGCCTCACTCTTCCTGTCTGGCACTGCTCTGCCTTCCAGATGTGGGTTAAAGACATCCATCCCTTTCCAGCCAGCTTCCCACTCTGGAAATCCTGGAGTCACTGATTCCTCCTTCTTGTTCATCTCCAGCCACCAGTCTCTGTGATTAGTCTGCATTCAAATTCTATTTGCCTCAGAAATTAATCTCAAACCCAGCCCCTCTCTTCCACACCCACCACTGTCTCAGTTTAGGTTCTCATCATATCATCACAATATCATCCCATCTCTGTCTCATTGTGGCTGGACACAAAGCCTGGTTCTCTAAAGGGGAAAATCTTTGAGTAGATAATACATGTACATAGTAAAAAATAGTCACACAGCTCAAGAAGTACAATGCCTCCCACCCCTAGAGGCAATCACTATTGTCTTTTGGGTATTTTATTTCTCCAGTGATACTACATATATATACAAGGTGAAAGTGTGTATTTCTTTAAAAAAAAAAAAATTTTATTGATTTTTTACAAAGAGGACGGGAGAGGGATAGAGAGTTAGAAACATCGATGAGAGAGAAACATTGACCAGCTGCCTCCTGCACACCTCCTACTGGGGATGTGCCCGCAACCAAGGTACATGCCCTTGACCGGAATCGAACCTGGGACCTTGCAGTCCGCAGGCGGACGCTCCATCCACTGAGCCAAACCGGGTAGGGTGAAAAGTGTGTATTTCTTAAAACCTTTTATAAATGGTGGTTGCTGAGACAGACACACGAGATGAGGCTGAAATGTTCAGCAAACCAAAATGAAAAAGCTGGCCACATGGTCTGGAGGGGAAGGAGAAGGTCATATACCAAACCAGGCAGGGCCTAACCTACAACCAGCAGGCAGCCGTGGGAAAGGAGGCCCCTCCAACACGCAGGCCCTTCACCAATCATCTGCCTCCGCACACATATAAACGGTGACTTGTGACTTAAAATGCTTCCATGTCACCTCATTTCTACCCACAGGAGAGAATTTGGAAGTGCTGAGAGGAGCGGCAGGACTCCGGAGGGTCACTGGGCCTGCTGGGAAGGGCCTTGCCTCGGCGAACCACCTCGTTTATGATTTTACAACAAACTGCTACCTCCAGATCTGGTCAGTTATGAACTTGAATTTTCTCACAAAACACACTCTAAGCAGAGGCTCACTATGATGAGAATGCCATGCCTACTGGTGCAGAGCAAGCAGGAACGAGGTACTGGGACTGGAGCTACACCCGACCTATGTGCACCTGACGGAGGCCACGCAGCTCCCGGCTGCTGCTAGCAGAGTCCAGGGTTCCAGGTGATCTTATCACTGTTCTTGAACCATGAGATTGGCAAGTCCTGCAAGGTTCCAGGCATCACAGACACAGCGTCAGTGCTCTGAACTTTTTGGCTCCTACATTCTCTCTTCTTTCCAGTGACTTAGAAGGCCACACCATCCAGTTCTACCCACAGAGGGAAGCACTATTCTGATATTTTTAAACATAACTGAACTCAGACTCCCAGTGTCTTCCCTGGTAGGTATCAGTTGAAATCTGTACAGCGCTGTCTGCGTTAGCTGAGCTGCTTGGAGTATGCCCCAGGCTTGCCTAGTTCAGAAGTCTGGCAGATTTTTTAAAAGAACAGTTTAATTTCGATATAATTCACTCTTTTAAAGTGTTTGATTTAGTGTTGTGTGTTTTTTAGTATATTCACAAAATTGGGTAAACATCACCACTATCTTAGGATATTTTCATCTCCCCAATAAGAAACTTTTACCCACCAGCAGTCACTCCCTATTCCCTCCTCCCCCCAGTCACTGGAAACCATTATTCTATTTCTGTCTTTATGGATTTGCCCATTTTGGACAGTTCATATAACAGAATCATACACTATGCAGCCTTTTATGACTGGCTTCTTTCACTTAGCATAATGTTTTCATGGTTCCTCCATGTTGCAGAATGTATCAGTACTTCATTTCTTTTATGGCCGAATAACATTCCATTGTATGGATAGACCTCATTTTGTGCATCTATTCATCAGCTGATGGACATTTGGGTAAAACTACTTATTGTTGTTGTTTTGTTTTTACTTTTTACTGAATTTACTGGGGTGACACTGGTCAACAAGATTAT